CTCTCTGTTTACCATCGTCCCTGTGCCAGTTCCTCAGGGTCTCCAAGTAGTGACTGTCGCCCACCTTATGGGATTTCGGTGACCTTGTCCAAGTGCCAGCACAGGACAGGCACTCAGAGACCGTTAAAATACAGAGTCTCAGTCACAGCTGCTAACTGGATGACAGAAGAACATGGTGGTTTGCTCCCCGATACTTCCGACATTCTCTACCCTGGCCCCCCGCTAGCTGACCAGCTAGATAACCAACACTGCCCTTCTTCCGTATGTGTCCATCCAAGGAAGGCAGAAGCCTGGCCCGCCTCTGTCCAGGCCATGACTCTGCTGGAGGCCTGTGCTTACCAGGAACCTACTTGTCTTGACTCCGAACCATGTCTATGCAAGTGAACTTAGAAGCAGCAAATACACACTTGAATTAGATCTTATGCAAACCAAAGACGTTTGAATGCAAAAAGGTTACTCCCTGGAAAACCATGGTGACTGCTTAGGGAAGAGTCACCAAAGACAGACTGCTTTAAACTAAAATTAGGAGAGAACAAAAACATAACACATGGAGGGGGGATTATTTAAAATCTAGAAGGTACTCCACTGAAGATTTTTTTAAATTCTCTTAGTTCTCACTCTATTTGGAAGAAACGCACAGAAAATCATAAATTGTGGCTGTGGTGTAACTAGAGCAGCAGTTTGAAACTGGGACCCTGAGAAAGAAGATGCCTACCAAGAAGGGCCCCTGGTGGCTTCCCTGGGCTCAAATAAGAACAAAACAAAAGCAGACCCTAGCAGCCCTCTCTCACAGAGCTGCACTTCAGGGAGGAGCCTGCACTGAGCTGCCCCTGCACCTGTCCCTGCAGCTGGTCTGCCCCTACAGAGGAGACCGGGTCCGATTTCAGCCAACAGGATTCCAGTGGAATCTGTGCAGCTATATCCCATCAACACCTTTACTGACCAATCAGAGCAGCTCCTTTGAGGACAGTGCCTTTAGGACCAATCAAACTGCAAGGACGTGGAGTCCTCATTTGCATGAAGATGGGCCAATCAGGGATCAGAGGCAGGGATTTCTGTCTATGTCAGTGAGCTCCCCTTGGGCTCAGAGAGCACAGTTCCCCCTTCCAGCAAAGGCTGAGCAGGGCAGTCTTGTGTTTCCCTGGCTAAAGCTGAAACACCAGAGTGGAGTACACCACACCACATTGGACTACACCGGACCAGAGTGCAGTATACCGGACCAGAGTGCAGTATACCGGACCAGAGTGCAGCACACCGGACCAGAGTGCAGCACACCGCACCAGAGTGGAGCACACCGCACCAGAGTGGAGCACAACGCACCAGAGTGCAGTACACCACACCACATTGGAGTACACCAGACCAGAGTGCAGTACACCACACCACATTGGAGTACACTGGACCAGAGTGCAGTACACCACACCACATTGCAGTACACCGGACCAGAGTGCAGTACACCAGACCAGAGTGCAGCACACCGCACCAGAGTGCAGTACACCGCACCAGAATGGAGCACACCGCACCAGAGTTGTGCTGCCGAGCTGAAGAGGGGCCAGGCCCCGGCACGCCTGACAACATGCTCTTTTCTCGGCTGGGCTGTACCACCACTGAGCTATTTCACACTGAATAAAGTCTTCTTCACCACACACCAATCTGGGAATTCCTGCTGGCACTAAATTGGCACCAACAACCATCTGTTGACACAACTCAAGTCCTCAGCCTTGCATCCGGCAAACGGTGAATGAACACGTACACAGATGCGTGTGCATAAAAACCTGCTGGATGTCCTTGTCATTCTCCCTTTTATCTTTTCCCATTACTGGGTCCCAGTCACAGTGGCTGAAAGAAACAGGACGTTTCCCATTTAAACATGTCGTAAGCATTACAAGGTACACGATACAGACAAATTAATGAGGCTCTAATGCCTATGTTTTATATCAGCAAAAGCATTACCCACGCTTTCTACGGCTCTTCACTTTGTGATAATGTCCTTTCTTCTAACCTTTATACAGTCCTGGATGGACAGGAACATCGAGCCCAGAAGCAGAATGCCCAACCCTTATGTCCGCTCCATACAGAGCCCATGCTGATCAGTTCTCCTAGAATGGCCCTGGCACGGTGCAGGTACATGGTCAATTCTGTGAATGACCAAATAGAAGGCAAGGGAGTTTCCAAAAAATCACTCAGGAAAAAAATTGGAATTTTTCTACATTAGGGCCCTTACTAAATTATATTAAGAAGTACTCTTTGAATTTCTCAATGTGGAACCCACAAAACCCTTTTAGAAAGACATGTTGCCCTAAACACTTTAATCACCGCCGGTAAGAAGTATACAGGGTCACCCTACAAAACTGAAAAACCAAGCAGGCTGAGAAACCCAGCCGCCGTCCAGCCTCCGCAGCAGCCAGGCCGCGCGGTGCACGCAGCACGTTCACAGATCTCCGCAAGTAGTGACCCGTGAGGCAGGTGCCCCAGCAGGCCGATGAAGGGCCCACAGGCCCAGTCTTAGGCAGTGGGTACTTGTCACTTGGTGTAACATTTCCAGGGGCCGTGTAATTAACCGATTGAAAACACACCTCATCTCAAATGGCTCCTGGGAAGCGAGAGTCTCTGCTAACCAGGTCAGAGGGTTCCATGTGACCGTGATCACCAAACCCCAGGAAGAGGTGCCGGTGAAGAGTGGGGGAAACCGTTTCATGAACCCAACATGAATTAATACGTTTCACACAGGATTTATTCCCCATGTCTAGCTAACTAAATTAATAAACAATCTACACAGACGTTTGTTTATCTATGTACCTAAGAAGTTCACATGTTCCAACTGGCCCAAAAGAAGTTTAAGGAGCTCTCGTTGGGAAACGGGGGGACTGTCTTACATTACAGCCACCTGCTACTGAGGCAGAGGTGGTATTTGCTGACTAATAATATGAGTGCCCATCTATTAAGCAGCATCCAGCATGCAGCTTTGCTATGATCAATTCCGATGGGCGCTCAAGTACAAAGAGCTTATTTGGAAGTAGTTTTCAGCTCAAATGTACAGGCTTCTTACTGTACAACACTCCGTCCAGGACTTCTGTGTGCCCAAGAGGACTCCCCCTGCCAAAGTCAGTGAATAAAAAGACTTTACTTTTTCCTCTCTGAAGGTGATCAAATACAGATTAGATTTAATTCAGGCTCTTCCAGAAACCCAGACTTAGTCCTTATGAGATGGGCGTGCAAAGAAGAAAGGACTGGAGGTCACACTTAGCTAACCTAACAAACGAAAGAAAGAAATGTGGTCGAAAGTTCCCGAAAGCTCAGAAAACATGAACAGAGACTAAAAGCTACATTTGCCTATAAAGTCAATCAATAATCCCAAAATTTACTCAACAAAAAATTAATTTCCTGTTCCCAAGTGGCATTTCTAAAAGTTAAGTTAAATCCCTTGACACTTTTTTTTTACTTCTACAAACGCCAACAAGAGTTCAAGGCGCTGAAGCTTCCTTCCAACCTCCTGGTCAAAGGCAGCTCCTGTGAGATGAACCCAGAGGACCCCTGTGAAGCATGGTCAAATGTTTCACGGAAGCACCATTCCAAACGTATTTCTTCTCTGACCTTTATTGTAATACCTTCAGTAAAATCAGCAAGGGCAGAGAGGGAAAGTTTGCAACTATGAAACAACAGTTGTAACTGGATTTAATCGCAATCAAAACCAAAGAAAAACGCACTTCCTCTTCAGCAGTGACCCACTGTAGATATGCCTGGACAATTCCTGACCACCATTCCTCCTGACCACAGAGAAAACCCACCTGGAAGACACTGAACTCTGAGGCTCAACACCCCAGGGTGTAAGTTCCTGACCTCGGAGATGCTGCAGGACCGCGTAATCCGCGCGGCAGACTTTCCCCAGCATCTCGGGATCATACACACTGGAAGGACTACTGAAGTGGTCTGTGCACGGCCAGTTCCTTAAATGGTTAAAAGAACAGGAATACAGGTGTGTTCTCTAAAACAAATAATCGCAATAAATCAACAATGTATTTTTTCTACATTTGAAGAAAATCTAAAATATGAGTACCTTGTTTCTCCCTTCCCCCAGCATCTATGGGCTACAACCCCCCCACCCCAACAGTTTCCAAGGGGCAGAGGGTGTAAAATTACACTTTCTAAGTAGCTTTTGAAACCAAATCACTAAAGCCCTCAAGATAAGGTCTTTGACTAAAATAGAAGCAGTGGGTGCCTACAGTGTAGTTGCACACGCACAAAAAACCTCCAAGACCCACGTGGAATGCAACCCTGCCTAAGAGCCCAGGAGAGGACCAGGGCTCCAACAGACGGGCAAACTTCTCCCGGCTGCAGGTTAACCCCTTCCCTAGTGTTGAACAGACTTTGTAATTTGCATTCCTCCACCCACTGTCACACACACTTCCCTCCGCCCAATCCTCCCTGGCCACACAAGCAGGACCCCGTCTTCCCAGGGACCGGAGCCTGGGAAACATTAACCACTAACTTTACCCAGGCAGGTGGACCTGTGCAGAAGACTCATCTGGAGGTCCAGGGAAAGAAGGTTGTTTCTGGAAAGAGGGGAGGCCCAGCAAAGTTTAAGGGGGTGAAGGGCTGGAAGTGAGCCAAGGACAAGAAGACATGGGAGGATGGGGTGTTGGCACCCCTATGAACGCCAACAAGGTCCCCTGGGACCACATGGCACCACAGAGCGAGCAGGTGGTGGGGGAGGGAGTCGAGGGAGGGGATGGATGGAAGGCACGTGCCACAAGAAGTTCAGTAGAAAGGGGGTAGATTGGGGTGGGGTAGGGTGGGGTGGGCGGACTAGGTGCCCAAAAGTTGGTAAGTGTAACTTGAAGGGTTACATTTAGGAGTCCCTGGAGGGAAGTAAGTTGGAGAAAGAAGCGCAAGGAGGTCATTACAGAGCCACCTCTAGTCTCCTGTGCCCCTCACCACTGGCTCCCCATCCCACGCGTGCCCCCACCCCTCACACACACCTTGGCTCCTCCAAGACCACTCACCTTTGCCGGGGGCGCGCTCCTGCTGGTCGCCAGCTCTCGCAGACTGCCCGCCTCCACAGGAAAGCTCGGTGAGCCCGGGGCGCTGCCCACCGCGCGGCCCCCGCCCTCTGCGAGCTCGGAAGCCGCCCCGGAGCCCGGGCTCGGGCGCGCGGGCGGGCTGCCGCCGGGACTGGCGCTAGCGCGGGGCCTCTGGCGGATGCCATCCAGCAGACGCACCAGCAGGATGTTGGCGGGCAGCTCGTCCACGCCGCAGCCCACCAGGATGCGGCACTCCGGGCAGCGCAGCTCGTGCCGCGAGCACACGATGCTCTCCAGACAGCGGCGGCAGAAGGTGTGCTGACAGGGCAGCACCTTGGCCGTGGTGTCCAAGCGCTCCAGGCACACGGAGCACTCCAGCAGATCCAGCAGTGACGACTCATCCATGTCCTCGCCCGCAGCCGTGGCCGTGGCCCGCCGCCGCCGCTCGCCCGGCCTGTCGTCGTCGCCCTCGCTCTGCGCAGCAGCGGCAGCCGCCTTGGACGCGCATAGCCAGGACGCTCCGAGCAGCATGGGGGAGGCGCCGGCGGCGGCCGCGCGCAGCTGTCTAGGTCCCGGGGCCGGAGGGGGGCCCACCGCCCGCAGCGGGCATCAGGCCGGAGAGCCGGGCTCCGCCAGGACTTCCTTCACCCGGGCCGGTGGCCCCAGGCTCCAGCCTCCGCGGTGCAGAGCGGCACGCCGACCGGTTTGCGCGGCGGGCACTGGAGTTGCGCACGCCGCGAGCCAACTCCTGGCCAGTCCTGCGGAGCGCGGCGCCCGCGGCTAAGGGCTACACCTGGGCCGCGGCGTGTCCTCCCTGCGCAGTGCTCCAGGGGAGCCGCCGGGCACGTCACTCAGCGGGCTCCGAGCTCCAAGTGGCCTCCCGCGGCAAGAAGCCCCGCGGCAGGAAGTGAGGGGAGCGGCCGGTGGGGTCCCCGGGGAGCAGCGTGCGCGCTTCCCCGCGCTGCTGCTGAGCCGCACCGCCCCCGCGACGCTCCATGCGCGCTGGGCCGGTCCGCGATTCGCCGTCCCCAGTGGGTTCAGCCGGACCCTTTCTCTTCCTCGGCCGCAAGCACGTGCGCGGGGAGCGCGCGGAGGTCACGGTCACTGGGGGGCGCAGAAAAGGAGTCGCCGCGTCCGCTGGACCTCCCTTCGCACGGGCGCAGGCCGGCGACAGTCCTGCCCCTTAGGGCACCTCCAGGGCTCCCGGGGACTCCGAGCGAGCCCTTCCGCGCAGGCTGGGCCTTGATCCACTCCAGGTTCCTGTCTTCCCTTCGGCTCTCCGCCTCAGGCAGGGTTGTCTCCTCCCGACGCCGCCGCGAAGGAAAGTTTGATGGGTGTTATCCCGACTGCCTTCTTGGCGAGCCGCTTGGGCACATAGCCAACACCCGGGCATCCACCGCGACAACTCCCTGGAGCGCTCCCGGCCCGTCCCCTGCTCAGAGGGCGCGCAGCAGTGACAACCCCGGAGCTGCGGGTGTGGGTGCGGGGACGCCCCGCACAGCTCGAGCGGTAGGCGCCTGGGTCGGCTGGGGCGCCCGGGGTCGGCTGCGGCTCCTCCCGGCGGCTGCTCGCTGCCTCTGGAGCGGCGGGTGGGAGGCTGGCGCCGCTGCCCGCCAGATCCACACCCTCGCGCAGGGCACGGGTTCCGCGCCCCACCCACCCGCGGCCGGCGTAGTGCGAGGGACCCCGGCGCCGTCTCGCGGACCCCGCTGCAGTATCTCCTCGGGTGGCGCAGAGGAAGGGAAACCCGCGTACTCCTTCCCGACGCCCCGGCTTCTGCGAGCGTCAGAGGAACGGAAGTGCGTACGGAGGAGCCGAGCCGCCGGGAAGTTCGGCCGCGCGCGGAGCCGGGATTCCCTGCCGCGCGCTGCCCCCTCGCGGCCGCGTCGCGTTCCCGCCGGGGCCGCCGCGAAGGCTCGGCCCGCCTGGCAGTCCGCTCGCCGCCCTGAAGTCCAGTGAAACTGCTCGGGGAGAAAGTCTGTTCGCTGAGGCTTAAATGCCAAGAACGTCCCTGTGAATGATTTTCTACCATCCTGGACTCAGCCCTGTGAGGTCATTATTTTCACCTCACTGTACACGGGAGGAAGGTGAGACTTCTAGTTACAAAATCACTGAGGCTGAATTGTGTTCGTTTTGTGTCTCCAGAAACTGACACAGAAAAACAGTTCGCACTTCATTGGACTGTGAGCTCCGCATAAGCGGCATGTTTTATACGGTAATATCCCGGTGCCTAGGACAGTGCCCGGCACAGAGCAGGTTCCCAATGAATCATTCGTGAGTTAATTTTAAAAGTCCTCGGATCTTAGCATCTCAATTCCAGTTCCCCTGGGCTCAGGTCAGGCTGCCAGGTCCCCGGACTTTGCACTGAGGATGGCAGGAGACCTTCCCCCTGCTTTGCAGAGAGGATTCCGCGTGTACTGCTCACGCCAGCCCTGGAACTGTGTGAGGCGGAGGGCCCGCGGAACCAGGGCGCGGACCTCCCGGGGCCCGGGGTGCACAGAAAGGCCTCCAGTTCTCCCTTTTACTGCTCGACCCGGCCTGGGAACAACAAGGAGCGATTCTCCCAAGGCTCTGTGTGCGAACAGCCGGCACCAGGTGTCAAACTCGGCTCAGCAACCTCAGTCCTCAAGTTCCGGCTGCGAGAAGCATGCAGAGCTGAAAGTGCGAGGTGACAAAGTGTATTTAGAAAGTAACAGAAGCAGAAGTGAGAAGAAACGGGCTCCGGAAACAAGTTCCAGGAAAAGAAGGACCCTTGGAGCTTGGGAGGGAGGGGGAGAGGAAGGAAGGGATGGAGGGGGCAGGGACAGGGGGACAGGGCGCGGCCAGACCATGCGCAGGGCAGGAGCGAACCAGGGCCTTGGGGAAAGAAGGGTGTGGGGAGAGGCACAACCTGTACCCAGAGGAAGCTGCACTGTGTCCTCCATTCTCGGCTTTATTCTGAGGTCTCGGGGGAGAATCTCAATAGAATAGTCAAGAGCTTTCTAGGTGTGTCTCCACTGACGGGTAGCACCAGAGGAGGGGTCTTGGTGACTACAGCTGGTCCTGATGTCAGCCATGGGGTGCCTAGGCCTGTTTGCTGTATTTGGGGGCCTGGAGCCAAGATGTCATCTCCTGGGTTAATGCCTAAGGGAGTGGTCCTGCAGGGGCTTGTAGTTTGCCTGTCGCTAGGCACCCAAGGCTCTCCGCCCAGGTGACCCTCTGCACCTAGCCCATCATTTCTGCTCTGCTCACACCTATCTAACTGCCTGTGATAGACCCAGAATGCTTAATCCAAAAGCAGGTGGCAGGGACACAGGACACCCCCAGACACCGGGAAGGCTGGGCCACCTGTGATGACGTGTCCTGGGTGTTTTTGGTTACGAGCAGCAGAAACCAGCTTTAGTTAGGTTTTCAAAGGGGCAGAATCAATGAGGAGAGTCAGGGCCCCCAGCTGAGGGCTGGGTTCCGGCAGACGACCCCAGTACGTTGCCCTGCACCTTGCTCTGTGCACTGAATGCTCCTTCCCAGGCTCACACCAGCGGCCTCTACTTCTCACCCACGAGACAGGAAACGTGGGCAGAGCCGTGATGCTGCGTCAGTGGCTCCAGCCCTGCCAGAGGCTGAGAGCTCTCAGACCCAATCAGCTCCGCCCAGAGGGCCACTCTGGATCCGTGTGTGCTGGCCACAGGAGCAGGTTCACTTGAACCCTGCCGGCACCCTCCAGCGTCACACAGAAGGGGAGTCAGAGTCTGCAGAACGATGCCCATGCCTATGCCCCTGCTGGCAGCCCAGAACCACCATCCTCTCTGTCTTACACAGCTGGGGCCACAAGAGCAAACCTGTCCAGACCTCGTCTCTTCCCCCTGCTCCATGAGCCCTGCCTTAACCCCTCCCGCGGAACAGCTGGGCGGCGGGCAGGCGAGGCCACGGAGCTGGGGGGCTGCAGCGAGCTGGGCCGGCCCAGCCTGTCACCACTGCCTCGAGAAAATGAGGGCCCGCGTTGCCAGACCCGCCTACTTTTCAAGAGAAGTTGGAAGACCTGCTTTTTATGTGAGACCTGATGTTCAACAATTGGCAACCATTTCAGCTCTCAAACAAAACACCGTATTAGCCAAATAAACTGGACGTGGGCCAGCGTGGCCCACAGGCCACCCGCCTGCATTTCTGGTTGGAGCAGCTGCGTGCAACGCGCTGCAGTGTGAAGGGGTGGGAGGGTGTGTGCAGAGCGGTCCGAGTGTTCCAAACGCAGTCCTGTTACCCGGTGAAACGTGCACGTGCTCAGTCGATCGTACGTGAACGATTTGGAGACCTGGCCTAAGTCATTCACAGGAGGAGATCTGGGAGTTCAGTGACCACAAGCCTGGTGTGAGCCAACATGAGTCACCAGTGTGGTATGTCTGCCCAGAAATGTGATGAGTCTTGGGAAGCATTAATGGACGACGCTAAGGGTGAAGATATGGAAATAAATCATCTCGTTGGACCTCAGGCTTGTCAGCTCTCATTTGTAGATTACTTTCGATTCTGGGAGCAAGTATGAATGAAGGGTAGTGATGGATCCAGAGCCCCCCCCCCCCCATGAATTTCGGGTGAAGGAAGACAGTGTTTTCCAAAGCAGCAGCAGCCCAGAGGAGACAGGGTGGGTGGCTGTGGGCCAAGGTCTTGGCTGCCCGGGGTCTGAACTCCTTAGATTTGGGTGAGTCTCCCACTGGTGAAAGTCAGACACCTTTTTCCAGCTGAGGTGCGGGGATGTGACCCAGGCTTGGCCAGTGGACAGCTGCCCAGCCCTGTGCCCGGTGCACGGTAGGTGGCTGCCCAGGGCCATGGAGTCCCAGGTGCAGGAGTGTGTGCAGACTCCGGTCCCCGAGTGCTGCCTCAGGAACAGGGTCCGGCTGCTGCACCGATGTGACTGGGGTGCTGGGCCTGGGCTGTGGCCCCTGCTGCTTTGCCCGCTTTCTTGGCCATGCTATGAGCTTTCCAGTTTAATGTCATTTATTCTTTTTTTATTAAATCAACCAGAGTTTGTTTCTGTTGTTTGCAACAGGGAACTCTAATTGATACATAATTTATTATCAGTCATAGGCCAGTGAAGGCCGTCGATGGAAGACAACTGTCACTGAAGAGCAGCCCCTCGGCCTTCGTGCTGGGGAAGCGTCAAGGCCAGCCACTCCGGTCATGCCACAGACAGGTCCCGAGGTGCCCGTCCCGTCAGGCGCCGGCGAGGGCAGAGCCTGTCAGGGTGAAGGAACCCCTGTGGCCTGTCAGGCCGGTGACATCGCCTCGGTCAGCCTCAACCACATCTTCTGCAAAGTGGAACACGAAATGTTTCCTCTCCTGTGGGCATGAGGTCCTTGAACTCTCGGAGCCTGAACAACACGTTGGAAAAGTACATTTGTTTCGCCTTGTTATCAGTGGGAGAACTGAAATGAATTAAAGGTGCAGGAGGCAGATGTCAGCTAAGCGTAGAGAGGGACGTTAGGCTGCGTTGCCCAGCCAAGCACAGGCTGTCCTAGGAAATGGGAGCCCCCATCCCCAGAAAAATCAAAGCACATTAT